GGACAGGATGACAATTTTATAACACAGGAGAGCTTTCTGACATTTAAAGAGAAGCCTTGAGGTGGAGGTCTTTGTTTTTAATTGTTACAACCCTTACTCTTTGTCTGAAGATAATGAGTGCTTATTTAAAAAAGGAAAGAAAAATGCCACAACCTTTAAATTCAGGCAAAAAGGCAAACAAAAGACATGCATTATTCTAGTTGCTCAAAGATTCAACTCCTGAATGAAGAATAAAGGGGAAAGTGGAGAAAAGATGGGTTAAGACACAAAAAGGAAAGTGGAGAAAAGATGGGTTAAGACACAAAAAGGCTATGGGATTGGCTATCATCCCACGAGATAGGGAATGACAAAAGGGTAACATTCCCTATGCTCCCACCCCCTTCTAAATGTGATGAGGTCCATAGTGCTGCAACTATGAAGTGTGAAAGGATAGCTTGTTGTTATTGTTGAAAGAAGTGGTACCTGTACCAAAACCAGAGCTTGGAAAAGACTTTTTCAACCATTTCCAGAATCTCACAGATGACATTTCCAGGGAATAGTGGGAGTTGTAACAACAACAACAACAACAACAACAACAACAATCTCTCCTCTTGAAGCAAGAGAAAAAAACTCAAACTCACCGAAAACATTCTCCCAATTTCAGCCATTCAAGTGGTTCTTTCTTTCATCCTTTAACCACATTCAATAAAGAAATACGTCATTGGGAGGTCTGACATGGCCATAATGGTCCATGCTCTGGTTACATCCCAAATAAACGACTACAATGCACTCTATGTGAGGTTGCTGCTGAAGACAGCTCGAGAGCTTCAGCTAGTCCAATGCTCGGTAGCCAGGTTGCTCATGGGAGCTGGGTACAAGGAGCATACAACTCTCTTGCTACGTCAGCTCCACTGGCGGCCTATTCAAAGTACTGCTGCTCACCTATAAAACCCTAAACGGTTCCGACCCAGTTTACCTGTCTGAATGTATCTCCCTCTATGAACCATCTAGGACCTTAAGATCATCCAAGGAGACCCTGCTCTCAGTTCCACCACCATCACAGTCATGTCCCCTCGGCTGTGGAACTCCCTCCCCAATGAGGTTAGATCTGCCCCCTCCCTCCTGAACTTCTAGAAGAAGCTTAAATCCTGGTTATGGGATCAGGCATTCACAGAATAGCTTGCTTACTGGGAAAAACAAGATTTATTGGACCATATTTGGACTGCTTGGGATGACTATTTTAATTCTGGTAATTTTAATATGGTGAAAGGATTCTTAATGCATATTTAGAATTATTTTAATTTTGTGGATATATTTATTATGTGTTTTATATTATGTTTGACATTGAATTTTGGCCTGTTTGGAAGCCGTTCTGAGTCCCTCCGTGGAGGTTGAGAAGAACGGGATATAAATGTTTTAAATAAATAAATACTCATGTATAAGACTAGACATTTTAATAAAAAATCAATCCAAAAATCTGGATTGATATATCCATGAGTAGTAGTGGTCTCTTTCCACTCCATTATTCTATGATTCTTTGTGTGCTTTTATCATGTAGATTTTGTTGCAGGTTATTATTTGGAAATCTTTTGTACCAATGAACGTCTTGCGTGATGAATGACGATGTTAGGCAATAAAGGAAAGAAATCCATCCTAACTATATGAATGCCGGAGTTAATGCTCCATAAATCTGTTCATCACAGTTATGGGATTTGCTCATGCAGGTAACATTTTATGCCCTTCATTAATCTGGTTTTAAAAATATACACATAAAAGAATATGATTGTTTCAACTTTCATCTCCTAATGAAATCATAAAGGTATATTTTAGCAGTTGATAGGAGTAGTCCTAGAGATGCTAATCGATAAAAAAGATTTGCTGTTTAGCCATAAAATAAATAGGAACATGTACTTTTGGTCTAAATTTTCTTATACAGCTGTCCTGTTCTTAAAATGTTTACGGGTACTCATATTCAGGTTAGTTTATACAAAAGCTTCCATTGTGTCCCCATATAAACTATGGGCTCCAGCCAAAAATGTAGATAATTTGTGAACTTAAACTCCCTCAATTGGCCATTGATAATGTTCCTGAAAGAATAATAACATCCTTCAAGTGGAAGGCATGGCATTCTAACCCTTTACCTCTGTATTCCTGCATGGACTATATGGCCTTTGTGGTTACTTCCAACTCTAAGAGTCTGCAATTCTATGAAATCAATATTACTACTGTATAGTGTCTATGGTCTTCATTTCAAATAGAAATCCAGATTTTTTCTGGAGCTGAAACTCTCACCTCGTGTACTGAAGAAATGAAATACGTTGAAGGCTAAAAGTCCTTTTTAATGTCAGCAGATGGTCAAGAAAAGAAAAAAGATTGCTTGGTACCTTTCAAGTGTAACTGGACTGAAAAAACAGGACTTTCAGAAAACTCTGAGGGAATTTGCAAGAATATGAGGAGGAGATCCTCATATAGAATGTATAGGGGGTGAAAGAAATACACTGGGCTCTTTTTAATAAGTAAAAAATGCATCAGTTAAGTGCTATGGTTTCTTTTGTGGGTTTCTCACTAGGTTGCCTCATATGTGAACATAATATGAGTCTAGACCAGACATGGGCAAACTTTGACCCTCCATGTGTTTTGGAATTCAGCTTCCACAATTTCTAACAGTCTCCGGCCCCTTTCTCTCCCCCCACCCCATAAGCAGCTGAGGGGGGCAAGGAAAGGCTGTTAGGAATTATGGGAGTTGAAGTCCAAAAAACCTGGAGGTTTGAAGTTTGCCTATGCTTGGTCTAGAACAGTAATTTCCAAGCTTTAGCCCTCTAGATATTTAGAACTTCAACACAGAAGTCTGAATAGTCTTTGCCAATGATTGGGGATTCTGGGAATTGAAGTCCAAAACATTTGGAAGACCAGAAACACTGGTCTATATGGTCCTTTGGCCTGAGGTGTATCATCTACACTCTATTTAGGATGGCCAGCAGGAGTCACAAAGAGCTCCCTGTAGAAATTGTGACTTTCCCTAGGAAACAAAACATAATCTGATTTACACTGGGGTTTCCTTCAGGGATGAGCCATAAGTAACAGTGGCAAACCATAACATTGGTTTGCCATAGTCTACAGGATCAGGAGAATCCACCCTACCACGCATAGCAGATCTGGAGCAAAGTCTTTTTGATTACTTTTCCTCTTTTACCCCAAATCACAGAAAATAAGCTGTTGAGGAAGATACCCTTAAAAGACTTTTTAAGCAATGTTGAATATGGTACGTTGTGGTATCTTAGGATCTGCTGGTTTCACCTTCAACGCTGCTTTGTGGTTGGACAGCTGTTTATGATAAACTAGTTGACCTAATTCTCAGATTTGTTTGTACAGTGGAAAGAGCACAAATATTCTATAGAAATATCATGCAAGTGGAGAAATTTTCCATCACCATCTCAGCTAATTCTACAGCAGAAAAGAATGGTCCATCAAAGTTAGAGCCACTTGCCAAATTTTAAACTTCTACCAATAAGTCATATTTTATCCTTTCTACCATAAAAGCAGCACAGACCTTTCCCAAGCCAACTTTAAACGCACAGATAAATTGAATAGTTGTCTGAGTCAGTGCTACTGAAAGTGATGGCCCATGGACTGCTGCCGGTTTACGAACAATTGGCTGTCAGTCTGTGAGTACATTACAACAATGGAAGGAACAGTTACAGTCCCTGGCACAAAGACAGTGTTGGTCCCCAGGCCATTGGGAAAGAAAAGCCCAGTGAGTCATCCATACCAGACAATGTAAGAATCACTGCTCTTCAACATCAAACACATAAACAGTATAAAATATACATAAGTTTGAAATAAATAAAATAACTCCATAAAAGGTTCTTCTGTTTACATATTAAAAGCTTGTTTGTACTAATGCTTTTGCCCCCTGGTGAAAGGAAAACAGGGAGAGGTCCACCTGAGCCTCCCATGGAAGGGAATTCCAGAGAATGGGAGAAGTCACTGAGAAGGCTCTCTCTTGTATTCTCACTGAGCTGGTGATGGTTGTGGGACAGAGGCTGGATTTACATTGCCCTATATCTGAGGATCTGATTTCAGAAGCAACTTGCAGTTTCTCAAGTCACTCCTGACATGAAAAAAATCCAGATTATCTGCTTTTAACTGGATGATATGAGTCTACACTGCCAGATGATTTGGGATGAGCAGATAATCTGGGTTCATATCTTGGGATATAAGGCAGTATAGATCCAGCCTGCTTCTTGGCAAAGGGTTGGACTGGTTGGCCCACAAGATCTCATCCAGCTCTAAGATTCTACAATTCTATGATTCTATGAACTGAAACCTTCTCCTGTTGATCCTAGAGTCTAAGCAGGTTTGTATAGGGAGGTACATTGTTTTGGATAGTCTGAACCTATGCCTTGATTATAAGATTTATGTCCAAACAGTTTCCAAAGGTGGCCCCACAAAGAGTACACTACAGTAGTTCAAATGGGATGTAATCAAGGCATGTATCACGATGACCAGATCTGCCATTTCAAGGAACGGACACTGCTGGTGCACTAGTTTAAGCTGTGCAAATGCATTTCTGGCCACTGCTGAAAGCTCAGAGTTGAAACCAGGAGAGCATCTGAACTATGGGAATGGGCTTTCAGAGGAAATGTAACCCCTTCCAGCACAGACAGAATCCCTATTCCCTAATTTGCCTTTCCACTGACCAAGAGCACCTCTATCTTGTTTGAATTAAGTTCCAATTTGTTTGCCCAGCCCATTGTTTACATTAGTTCAGTAAGACTGCTTCCTTGGAACCAGGTGGAAAGGAGAGATAGAGTTTACAAAGAAATGCAACTGTAGCCTAATAATAAAAACAGAAACTTCCTTTTTTACCAAAATAGGAGAAGAAATGTGTTTTTTTTTGTTTTCATTTTAGAATTATTGTGGCACTGCAGATAGCTTGCTGCCTAGGGAAGAAAATGTACACATCAATTGTCCACTGTGGTCCATTATTGTCCGTGTGGATTTGAGTAAAGAGCTCTTACCCGTTTTCGTAGATTGCAGGTTAGTGTGAGATTCCTTGAGAAGGAGTTTGCAAAAGCAGTATAAAAGTCCAGAACTTTCAGCAAGGCCTCCCGCTTGATAATGTGCAAATCGCAGTAAGTCAGTGCCCGCACATTCGCGCACGCATGGGCCAGGGTGGTTTCTTTCCAAAAGATGTCTCCAAACACATCACCTTTGCCTAGAAAAGCAATTGAAAAAATCAGTTCAACCATGCTTCTAACATAGCATTCTGCCCTAGACCCTTGTCCCCTGCCAACTTGTCAATCACTCTATCTTAGAACAGCTCTGACATATGATGAATGTTTTATTGACTCGGGGGTCGAAATGTGAACTTGATCTTTTCTGTGAAGTCAACTGCTCTTAAGGCTTGTAAATAACTCATAGGTTAGCCTGGATTTGAACGAACAAGTTTGTGATTGGGGATGTGAATATCTGTCAATCTTCATCCCCATCTCCAACCTTCAAAGCTTTTTCAGACTCTCGCTGTCATTCTTGGTCTATCCATGTCACATATCGAGATGAGAGGCATACTTTTGCTTCATGATTGAAAATGTATGCATAATTTTGTGTGCATTATTCCCAAAGTTTTGGTATATAAATTATTTATTATTTATTTACAGCTTTTATATTCCGCCCTTCTCACCCCGCAGGGGACTCAGGGCGGATTACAGTATACACATATATGGCAAACATTCAATGCCAATTTTTGACATATAAACATATACAGACATACACAGAGGCTATTTAACTTTTTCTGGCCGCCAGGAGCTGTCGCTTTCATCATCCATCTGCGACGCTGATGAAGCACTTCCGCATTCCCCGCATGCTTCCCCGCTGGAATGCTTTGCTGGAGTTTTCTTTATGGCTTCATAAATTAGTTAATTTAGCCTCCCCACACTATTTTCCCCCCTGGGGGAACTCAAAGCACTGTACAGCATAATAAATGGCAAAAATTCAATGCCTCAATACGAATAAAAATAATACATTACATATCTTAAAACAATAACATATAACTATAAATTAAAATCATTAAAGTCATCAGACATGATCATTTGCCAGTTTGTGTAGGTTTCAATTATTGATCTTGTAGGCAGCACAATTATAATGAAAGTTTGTGATGGGGACCAGAGCCACCAAGTCTGCCTGACACAATCAATAAGTAAATGATGGAAAAGCCTCAGAAAGCAGTTTAGTTAGTCCAGGTAAGTAGTCCTCACACATCAACAGATGTTGCAGGTGCCGGGCAGCAAGGAGACAAGGCAGCAGGAGGCCCATGGAGGCTCCCGTGCAGATGTTGCTGATGTCGGGCAGCTCCCTGCTCAGATGTAGCTTCTAATATATGCATTTAAAAATATTTTCCCTATTAACTAAATCATGTATTGTTCAAATGCAGATCTTTTAGGTTATACACGTTGTTGCAAATTCATGCATTGATTTCTCTGCAACTTTTCCCCATCTGAAACACAACACAGCCTTCAGAAATACATATATATTACTGAGGCATGTATACTACATTCCACTGATAGTCTCTGAAGTTGAGAAATGTCTGACTTCTTACTGTATTACAAAGCAAATAATAATTCTTTAACATCCTTATTTGAGATATGCAAAGGATGGCACACATTTGACATAATAGCCTAAATCCTTTTGTTAGCCATGATTACAGCAGCACCATTGAACTAATTGGATTTGTGGACTCAACGATTGAGTCAATAAACGAAACAGGGACTCTGCTAAATGAGCTATCCAAGGTGCTTAATCTGTTTTGGTGACAGGGTTCAGCACTTTGGATAGCTCCTTCTGCTTTAACATATCTATCCGAACGTATCTCGGCCTATCAGCCCACCAGGACCCTAAGATCTTCAGGGGAGGCCCGTCTCTCTATCCCACCTGCTTCACAGGTGCGGCTCGTGGGAACGAGAGACAGGGCCTTTTCTGTGGTAGCCCCCCGGCTTTGGAATGCCCTCCCTGTAGAGATAAGATCTGCCTCTTCATTGATGGCATTTAGGAAAAAACTAAAAACATGGATGTTTCAACAAGCATTTGGTTAATTTTAATGCAACGAAGTTAATGACCAAGGATCGGCAATCACGGACGATGAGATTGGATTATGTTTTTTAGTTAAGAGATGCTTCGATTGTATTGGTGGCCCAATACTGTTTTATGATATATGTTTTTATGTTTTTATGCTTTTAAATTGTATATTGTTGCTTATTTTAGTGATGTAAACCGCGTTGAGTCGCCATTGTAGGCTGAGAAACGGCGGTATATAAGAGTAGTAAATAAATAAAATAAATAAATAATCAGTTACAATGAGTCTAAGATAATATGACATTAACAGGGTGGTGAAAAGAAATCCATAAGCATAGTTGATGATGATTTCTTGAGAACTGCTGAGAAAAGAATAGCATACGGTGCATTGCATTGCATAACCAGTGGACAATGATGATAGGCCCCTCTTTTGCAATAATTCTAGAAATTCATTTCTGCAATTGCATTAAATTTTGTGCTGGTGAAACAATCAGTGATTTCCGAGTCTCTGGGTCTAAATCAACTTCTCCAAGACTTTAAAGGGCTATACTTTCCTTATAAACTTACACTGAGAAATCTAGTTTGCTCCCAAGCTATCAATTTAACGCTTTAAGGCAGACATGGACAAACTTTGGCTCTCCAAGTGTTTTGGACTTCAACTCCCACAATTCCTAATAGCCTACCAGAGGGCCAGAGCTTGTCCATGCCTGCTTTAAGGAGTAAGGTAGACTATTTCACACTGGCAAACTGTTTTAAATGAATGCTTATAATTGTTTTAATTGTGTTAATTGTAACTGTGTGTTTTAATGTATTATTTTAATCTAATTACTGCCTGCAGTAAGCCATCCTGAGTCCCTCTTCAGAGGTGAGAAGGACAGGATAGAAAAGCCCAAAATAATAATAATCATCATCCTCATCATCATCCTCATCATCATCTTGCAGCCCAGGAGCAAGCCATCAGAACAAATGCAATTAACGCCAGAATCGAAAAAATCAGCTGATGATCCAAAATGAAGACTGTGCAAGAAAGCTGATGAAACCATGGATCATATCCTCAGCTGTTGCAAGAAAATCGCACAGACAGACTACAAACTAAGGCACAACTCTGTGGCCCAGATGATTCACTGGAACCTATGTCACAAGTACCACCTGCCAGCAGTAAAGAATTGGTGGGATCATAAACCTGCAACAGTCGTGGAAAATGAACACGCAAAAATACTGTGGGACTTTCAAATCCAGACTAATAAAGTTTTGGAACACAATTCACCAGACATCATGTTTGTGGAAAAGAAAAAAAAATGGATTATTGGTGTCACCATACCAGGTGACAGCCTGGAAAAAAAGACCTCAAAATAGAACTGCAAAGGCTCTGGCATAAAGGTGGCATAAAGGTGGCCCCAGTGGTCATTGGCATACTGGGTGCTGTGCCAAAAGATCTAAGCTGGCATTTGGAAACAATGAACATTGACAAAATCATAATCTGTCAACTGCAAAAGGCCACCTTACTTGGATCTGTGTGCATCATTCGAAAATACATCACACAGTCCTAGATGCTTGGGAAGTGTTCGACTTGTGATTTTGTGATACAAAATCCAGCATATGGATCTCGTTTGCTGTGATGTACTGTGTTTTTGTGTCAATAAAATAATAATAATAATAATAATAATAATAACAATAATAATAATAATAATAAAGTTCCAGCTCTTCCAATGATTCTTAGACCCATGTGCAAGTTTTTACAGAAAACTGGAAGTGACTAGATGAGATCATGTTAGAGGTTGGGTGTTGGTGCTTCATTCCCTTGATTTACAGTCAGAAATCTAAAACTTAATTATTTATTGTTCTGATCCTTTAAACTGGCTCTGCCTTCAGTTCAGAGTAGAGAATCATGCCTCTGTCTTTCTCTTGGGTATGGCAATACAAGTTTTGTTACCTTTTGCATGGATGTTCAACTAGCTATGGGGACCTGTAAAAACATGCAATTAACTTTTTGCATGCTTTTATTTATGACTTTATATGTATCTGTCTATATTTTAGTATTCCTGTTTTGGGGAAATGGTGGGATAGAAATGAATTCTCTCCTCCTCCTCCTCCTCCTCCTCCTCCTCCTCCTTCATCATCCAACTGTTCTCAACATCATTTGGATCAAATTCTCATTTTTTTTTTTAAAAAAAGGCAGGCTATTAAAGCAACACAATCTATTCTTACAGTATAATAGAAAACATGGTATGTTCTCTATACAATGCTCCTACCATTTCCTTTTTGCTCTATACATAGCTAAAAGGAAAAATCTTCATCCTTTTTATTCATTACTACTTATTCCTACTCTATCAAAATTTTATATTAAATTCTTTTCTTCTTTTTCTCTACATGACAATGTAATGAAATTAGTAGTGAAATACCAGGCATCAGAGCCTCTAGAACTGAATAACTCACATATTCATTCTCACAAATGGGATTTGTTTGGCTATCTAAAAATTTAGTAATGATTTTTCAATTTGCACCCATTGCCTACTTCCTTTCTTGTATATCAAAGTGAATAAGTAGTGCAACTTGTAAATTTCATGAACATTTTAAAAGGTACCCCCCCCCCACCATCTCTTAACCTGTCTCTACACTGTAGAGTGAATGCAGTTTCATGCCACTTTAACTGCCATGGCTCAATGCACTAGAAGTCTTTGGTGGAGAAGACTAAAGAACTTGTAAAACTGCACTCCCATGATTTCATAGCTTTGAGCTATGTCAGTTAAAGTGGCATCAAACTGCATTCATTCTACAGTGTAGAAACACCTTAGATATGGCAACTTTTGCCATTCTGGGTTTGTAGTTATTAAAAATCAGGGCTTCTAATTTCTTCTACCAGCTTTTTGGTATCCTGTATGAAAGCTCAATAGAGAGTGCCTAAAATAAATATGAAAATTGGGGAAGATCCACTATTTTTATAGTGACAATGCAACTTGAGAAAGACCATTTTCAATCTTGAAATACCTTATTCCAAATTACTTTCTAATTGTACTCGAAAGATTTGCAAGCTTTTTTTAGTTAACAGTAGTCCTGAATGACAGAACTGTTTATTAATTAAGGAAATATTTACAGCCTGGAAAATGACTCTCTCAATGTTAGACTTACTAAATCCTCAATCCAGAT